ATTATTAAACTGGTTAAAAGGCAGTTTATGGCTAGTGCCAGAGCGTATTCAGATCCCTTTCTTAGTTCTTTCTGTTCTGCCAAAGTGCTTCTTCAACTTCTACTTTTTGGTTGATTTGCATTTCATTAAAGACAAAAGTGGGTTTACCTATAAGGCATGAGGAACATTGCTCCCATAGTTGGTATTTGAATCTCTGGGAGGGCTGATTTAATTTCGTCCTGGAAAGAGCGCAGGAGTTGTGAGATCCAGTCCTGCCTCTTGCTGATTAATATGCTTAGTGTTAGTATGTTACTGTATGCTCTTGGCCTTGATGATCGCATCAGGCAGAACTGTTGTGATGACTGAATGAAGGAAAGGATTTCCTTTTTTTCTTAGCACAGTAAGAGACAGTTACCTTCAGTAGAGCCCTTATTTGTTTTCCTAAATTCAGATGCTGAGGCAGATGGGCTACAAACATTGCAGTAGCATTTCCTAACTGTGTTCCAAATTTTTGTAGGTGTTGCACTAAATAACTAAAATAATAATAAACAACATATGATAAAAATAAAACATTAAGTGGATAGATGACCTTGGGAAATACTATATATCTTCCTTTTGGAGATGTGCCAGGCATCATAATGTAATTTATGTTTCTTTTTTAAACAAAGGTAAACTGAGTTCATCATTAATCTTTTCCTTTGAGATCTCTAATTTTAAAGAATACCGGTATTCCATGCAGCAGTGTTTGTGAAGCACTTGAGGGTTTATTTTCAGGATGACTTGACAGTAGAATTCTCTATATATATCTTGAGAATTCTCAAGATAAATATAGTACTTAACTGAGCCATTGGTAGTTAGCGCTTGCAATGGAAATTTATGAACTTTAAGTGAAAGATATCACTGCTTTAAAGTCCAACTTTTGTGGAATTTGTTGGCTGAATTTTATGACAAAAACTGAAATTCACCCAGAAAATAATTACTAAATGGTAGCAATCTATATCAGGGTGAATTTAAGTTTTTTGTTTTAGACGTGATATTACTTAAGATAATTGCTAATATATCATTAAAAGTTGTAAATATGTGGGTCTGAGGGCTCAATTTTGTTCATTTCCAGTATGATCATATTCTTAAATGTCTGATTGATATTCTTATTTTTCATCAGTTTAGCAGTGCTGCTGAAGAGAATTACATAGTTAGAAAGAGTTGTTACTAGTGGCATTGGGCTCAGTTCATGTTATCCTAACCCATTCATGTTTTTGGTTTCCATTTCAGAGGACATATTCTTAACTTATTTAAATGAGATTACTGAATCCCTTATGGTGGGGTGCAAGTGGTTGAACTTGGTAATGTACCTGGCAAATGATTATATTGTAGTGGCATAGGAATCAGACCTGTGGAATTCTCCATTATACTTCAGTACCTAGCTGTGGAGTAGGCAGTAACATTTGTTGAATAAGTGAAAGAATAAATAAAGCCTAGTGGTGACAGAGTTCTGTGGAAGTAAATAAACATAATTATTGCTGAAAATACCACAGGTAAATGAGGGAGGCATTGTAGTACAGTGGAAAGAGCACTAGACCAGGATTCAGAAAATCTGAGCTCTAATTCCAGATGTTGTCCTGTGGCATCATACAAGGCTTTGGGTCTTGTTTCCTTGTCTATAATAGGGGAACTCATTATAACCATTCCTGCCTAATTCATAGGTTGTTGAGGAAATAAAATGAATCATTAATATACGATGCTTTGAAATGCACATGTACAAAGTCAAGGTTCTTTGCCCCATGCCTGGTACAGTGCATTAAACCGTATTAGCACAGATAGAGACTTTCTCTCTTAATAATAAAAAAGAGGCTAAGAAACAGTCTAAGACTGATTCTCGAAGTGCTCACAGAGTGTTGGCGGGTAAAGAGAGGAAGAGGAACCTACAAAAGAGAAGCAGAAGAACCAAAGAGGAAAGAGAAGAGGAGAATCAGGAAAGTGTAGCCCTCTGTTTTCCAGACTTGATTTTTGCTAAGCTTTGTTTATGCTTTTGGGAAAAGGGATAGTTAATACTCAACAAATAGCTTTTGACTTCATTTTCTGAACTCTGCCTAAGTAAATTTTCTCCCTTTCATTTAAGGGTGAAGAGAAGTTCCTCTTGTAAGCTTAACAGTAAAGACCTTCACTTAGATAGTTTAAGAATACTTAAAATTTGATTTTCTGTATTTTCTGTAATAACCATAAGTAACTTATTTTCATGAAAACATTAAAAGTCTTAAATGACTAAAGTGTGTTTTGTTTTGTTTTTTAACTTTATTGGCGAACAGTGTGTTTTTCCCAGGACCCATCAGCTCCAAGTCAAGTCATTGTCCTTCAATCAATCTTAGTTGTGGAGGGCGCAAGCTCAGCTCCAAGTCCAGTTGCCGCTTTTCAATCTAGTTGCAGCGGGTGGAAAGCAGATGGGCGCGCAGCCCACCATCCCATGTGGGAGTCAAACTGGCAACCTTGTTAAGAGCACACGCTGTTAACCAACTGAGCCACCCAGCTTGCTCTGAAACTGTGTTCTTGACTTGCTAATGGGATGCAGTTTGCTGCTATGGTCTGGACAGTGAGCATTCAGTGTCATGGGGAGGAAGGGTCTAGGATGAAGCACTCCCCAGTTTGTTGCTTAGCACACTACTCTTCTCTGAGATACTAAAATAAGTTTGAGAAATGCCCGCCCCCTCATCACCCACACAATCATGCACACCACCAGACTGTGAGCATTGGGAAGACAGGAACTTCCTTGCTCATATGGTAGCCCCAGTGCATAGCAGAAGTGTATGAGCCACTCATAATATTCATGAGAAGCCATAATCAAATTAGTTATTTCTGGTAAGATGGTTTTAAAATTGTAGATATAGTTAAGGGATGACTAATACATTCTTGCTTATGTAGTACATGTATGTTTGATTTCCAGGAATGGCCTCCCTGAAGGAAATCCATACTTTGTGACTTATAATATGTACTTGTACACCAAATCAGGAAATAATTTCTTTTGTCACAAAAAGGTCATTTGTATGTGTAAAGGAAGATTACTTAAAATAATAAGATTCCTTAGTATATTTGTAAAATGATTGAGTTATAAATTCAGGAAGTCTGTTAATTTTTCAAGAAAAATATAACTTGTAGAATGTAAGGTATACCTAAATAAACCTTATTGCCAGTGATCATGTTGACTGTTTTTGGTGGGTGGATTATTAGTGGATTGATTATCCCTGACTTGCTTCTTATTAGCTCATTTTACAAAAACAAGAAACATGTATGAGGTAAAATAAAATCATTTTATTATGTGAAACACCATAATTTGGAAAGGTGTGTGTGTGTGTGTGTGTGTGTGTGTGTGTTTGGTAGGGTGAGAGGGCGTGGTATTTAAACGTAATAGCTAAAATCTAATATTTGAATAATATGGTTGTTAGTTATCTAGTCTAGCCTCTTATTCTAAATCTGTATTGTCTAATATGGTAGCCATTAGCCATATTTTAATTTAAATTAATTAAATTTAAATTTAAATTAATTTAAATGAAATAAAATGAAAAATTCAGTTCTTCAGTCACAGTAGCCATATTTCAAGTGCTCAGTAACCACACGCATATGACCAGGAGCTACTGTTGGACAATACAGATAGGGAGCATTTCTCTCCATTAACAGAGAAAATTCTAGTGGACAGCGCTGTTCTAAATTAATGAAAATTGCTAAGAGATTTTACCAAATTTATATATTCTGGAAGTTGGAGAATAGAGTGGCAAGAAATTAGAAACCTTTCCTGTCTTGGATTCTTAGGTGGGACCTTTCAAGATAGTTAAATTCTCTCGGAAGTGAGAGAGAGAGCTAATGTTTTAATTGTGGAGTTCTTGCTGTATTCTTATTTAATGTCCACAACAACCAGGCCAAGTGGGGAGTATTATCCCCACTTTTTGAGGCTATCAAGCCTGTAAGTAGAGGAACTGTAATTTGAACCCAGGTGTATCTGACTTTAAATGGTAATTTTTTGTTTTTGTCTTGGACCTCAGTAGTGTTGAGTTGGTCATAATCCCCAGTTCATGGTATTGTCATTGTCATCAAATAATTTTTCTTCCTCTTATCCATAGGCAACCATTTTTATGTGGCCTTCTTCTTATTAGCTAATATAGTTTTACTTATGTAGTACAAATATATTTGATTTCCAGGAATGGCTTACCTGATATCTTTCTGTTCGATTTTGCAAAATGCATATTGTATAATAGTACCAAGTTCCTGATTTTTACATTTACATGGGTGGTATTATTATGTATCTAAGGTGAGATTTTTTTCCTGCTCTGCAATGGTATTTGATGATTTAAGCACCCAGCCTACTTCTTTTTAGAAATTTTGTGAGGAAATCTTTTTAAATGGTGTTAGTTTTTTTTTGCCTTTTGTAGTTAGGGAAGTCTATAGGAATCCCCCCTCCTCTTTGTTCAGAGAATATAGATAGTATTGTCCTTGAATGCTGTCCTGATCATTTTTTATAAGTTACTTTTGTTTTCTTCTTCACCATTAGGTGGTCAGCGATTACTTCTCACAGATATTGATGTGTGGCTGCTTTAATTTTAATTGAAATTTTTATTGAGCTAATTGTACATTCACATCCAAGAATAAGAAATAATACAGAGCAATCCTTTGTATACTTTGTTCAGATGCAGCTGTTTTTTATGCTTCTAATTTCTGTGGAGGCTGGGAAGCAGGATAGATAGGTTTGGTAGAATTATGTCAAATAAGAGTGAAGGCCTGAGGGATTCTCTTATGAATGGAATACACGAACTTTTAGCACTTTTAGCACATGGATGGCCTTTTTGCTTGATTTTTAGTATGTGTCTTACTTAGATAATGATGTTATATTGCTGCGTTTTTTGTAAGTGATATAATATGGTATTTTCCTTTAAGCGTATTGAATATTTTATACAAATACTGTTGAAAGTAATTATGCAAATGTGGAATCTTAAATTTTGATAATGATTCGTATTTCTGTATATGTTTTGTTTCAGGTTGTTTCACGAAGAAATCCAGAAGATGTCCAGGAGGTAACATGTTTATTCATATGAAAATATTATTTTATATGAAAAAAATTAATTAAAGGCTTTATTGAGAAAATTGAATTATTTGTATGTCAGTCTTTGCATGTTTGTGTGGAGATTGTCTTCAGCTCACACAACAGTAACTGAATTATCCTATTTCAGACTTATTAAATATGAAGTTAGTTTTAGTAGGTGTTAAGTTATATAAATAAGAAATTGAGGAATTATTCAGACCTATTAAGTATGTGTTAAATTTTAGTAAATGTTAAGTTATATAAATAAGAATTTCAGGAATTACAGTGCTATTAATAATGTGATAATTTTCCTGATAAGTAGCACTCATAAGATTTCAGTATAAGTTAAGGGCTCCTAATTACCTATTTAAAAATCATGATGCCTATTTAATAAAAAAATGAAAAGTATTTGGTAACTGCATTAATTTTAAAGATTATAATACGTATGGGTTTCTATCTACTTCCATTTTTATGTTGACTTGACATGTTGACATCTTGGAAAACTGTTTTGGGTGTAGATGTTTCTTTTTAAAATTTTGTAGTTAGTAAGTTCTTTTGTAGACTCTTGCCCTCTCTCTAAAATGATACCAACTTAAAATTGTGGAATTCTCTGTTTGTGATTACTTTGTGCTTGTTATATATACCTTTAGGAATCCTAACTGAGGAGCTTGCTGCCTTTAACATTTTTAAAAATTATTTTCATTTTGGTACTTGCTCATTTTGTTTTCTAAAAAATTAGTTTGTTTTCCAGTTAGAGTTGACATACAATATTATAATAGTTTCAGGTGAACAGCATATTGATTAGACATCTATATACCTTATGAAATGATCACCCCAATCTCATTTTCACTAAGATTAGAAGGACATATATATTATATATTGGGAGCTTTTTTTTTCTTACTAAAGTGTTTAAAGGAGACATTGTAAATTAACACTCTTGATTCTGCAACAGCGTTTTTTCTCTAACTGAATTTTAATGTCTTTTTTAAGTGGGGTATGTATTTTCTATTTAGCCGCAAGCTCCACTACTTCTTACTGAAAAATCTGGCTTGATTCATACCTTTAAGGTGATTGTTTGGTACTGGTTGGTTTGAGTATCTATCATCAGGTTCAGAATACTCGTATATTTTAACTTTCATACATTAACATTTCTTGCTATATTTGATTTTATGTCCCATAGTTAAAAATAGTTCAATAAAAGACATATGTTAAAAGGATTTCATACTATTTTCCTTAGGGTTTTAAGATATCTCACTCCCCCTACCCCATCGCCAATAGCCATGAAGAGAATATTGTAATATTGTTAATTTGGAAGAAAAGGGAAAATGGCGGTGAAAGTAATTTGTACCATTGGTTAATCAAAGTACTCTCTCTACTTAAGTGTCAGTTGATTAGTATGAACTATTCTTTAGAATTTGGAACTTTTTAGAATGTTGAATTAATAGTCAATACCAGGCTATTCTGCTTTTGAAAATTTACAACTCTGTTAAAATTGAAAATGGGTTGTGTTTCTTTTGAATACCTTATCTGATTGCTGGCTGTGCTGTAGTTTGTAGCCTGATGTTCCCCTTTTCCAGGGAGAATCCTGAACCAACCTATCCATGAACATACTCTCTGCCATTTCCTTAATCCTTTTTTGGGGAACACTCTTTTATAATAACAACTGTTGATGAACCATTCATCAGAAAGCTCTTGTAAGTGTTCTTTAGTTGCATGGTCCTTTGTTAGAAATGCTATACAATTAAAAAAAAATGCCTTCTGTCTAGCTGGCTTCTTAAAATATAAAATAAACTTGAAATTATAACAACACTTTTTAGTTTCTCATCTATGGCATTTAAACATTGGAATTCTCATTAGGAGAGGAATTCACTCTCTAAAATTTGTTTCCATTTCCTTTTCTTTTACTTTCTCTCTCTGTTAACTGATTCATTTCGTTATTTAGAATTTAGTCAGGCTTCATGAGAGCTATTGAGGATTATTAGTTGATGTACAGTTAATCTAACCAAATATAGGGCTGATAATATGCTACCCCTATAGAATTGGAGAACTTTTGCTGTTTTTCTTTTCTTGTATAGACCTTGGCACGTTACCATATAGCAGTGTTTTCCTCCAAGAATGTTTAAACACTGACATGGAGTAAATAATTTAAAATTATCTAGGTAGCTCTTTAAAAATCTTTTAAAAATTCCCTCTAAATTTTTATTAAGAGCAGTATGGGTGAGTCTGAAGAGGGACAACAACAGTTAATGTGGCCTCTTCAGAAGACTCTCTAGAGCATGAACCCTTGCAACAGCGCTTGTAAAAAAGTAACCTACATAAAGCTCTGTTTCTCTCTAAGCCGTAAACTTCACTGGTGTCAGAAATTGTCATGGGAAATAAAACGCCCTTGAAAAGGGGGGAAAGGAAATATGCAAGCAAATTGTATGGTAGTGATGTTGGTTGCAAGAAAAGGTGACCCAGAAAAATTTAAGTAGTATAGGAGAGTAAAGGGGTAAAGTTAATTGAATTGAGTGGTTTTGTAAAATACAAGAGATTTAAAGGTTTTTGCTATCATCAAATGAAATTATCTTAAGAGAAAACTTTTTAAATCTAATATTAAGGAATGTGTTAAATGAAAATTAAGTTTTAAATTTGTAGTCTACATATGATTGTCACTGAATTAATATTTGAGGAATCTTATTCAGATAATTTTAATGAATTCTTATTCATTTTTTATTCATTTCTGCAGAGTTGGTTCAATAGAGCAATACCTGTTAATACAGTGATTTTTACTTTTATAGTAGGAAAGAATTAGTTATTAAGAGAAAATGATTTTTGCATTTATCTTTTGGGACTTCGTGTAGTCCAATTATAAACAGTAATACTTTCTGATGTAATGGAAGTATGCTTCTGCTCACTCTTTCATTTTGAAGATTTCTAGAAATGTCCAAGCTTAAGGGAAGTAAGAAGAAAAGGAGGCAGTGGATGGCGACATTTCGTGATGCTTTAGTTTCCCACATTTCTTGAGGGTTTATCTTTGCTCTTAGGTATTTCGATTCTATAGTTCTAGTGTCGAGAATAAGAAATAATTGAGTAATAAATTAGGGCATGTTGAGGAAACACAGATGCTCACCTTGGGGGGGTTCTAATTTTAGCTCTGACAAACTATCTACTGGTTTGTAGACCATGGTATTATTATTATTATTGCGATTGAATTGTTAACTTTTGCCCATAAGTTACTTTGCCTTTATTTTAAAATGGCCCTATGTAGAATGTAAATTTTATCTGCAGATTTAATTGTTTCCATGAGTTACATACAGTCTTTTGAAAAGCTCTCATGTCTGGTTCATGGCTTTAAGGATGGCACTTGCCTTATGTACAATGACTTTTACAAGTCTCTCACCCATTTCCCCTTTAAACCCTTGGTAATGTAGTACCACCAAAATTTAATCTATTTAAAAAATATGAAACAACATTGTTTTTTCTCATGACAGAATTATGTTCATGTATCAAAATTAGAAACTACAGAGGAGCACAAAATAGGAAAATTAAAATCACTGTTATTTTCACTACTCTGAGGACTTTTACTTTTCAAGTGTTTAGTTTGGTTCTCTGTTAGTTCCTCTTTGTTCTGTCTTTTGATGGAATCTTTGCTATCAGCATTTGTCTCATTCACTTCCATTTAAAAATAAAATCTCTTCTTCCATCCATGTCTCCTGTCTCATAAACACTTTCTACTTGGTTTGCTCTTCTTCTGTCTGGCCCCTCAGTGTTAGGGTTCCCCATCATTGTGTTGTTAGATTCCTGATCTCATTACAAATGCTGAGAAACCTTTCCTGAGTGATTACCATCTCTCTACTGAAGACTCCCAAATTAATGTATCTTGGTTAGTTCTCGCTCTTGAACCCCAAACCCATGTATCCTATTGGACTTCTCGAATTAGATGCCTCACCTAAATCAAATATGTCTAAAATTGAACTTCATTCTTATCTCAAAGCAGCTGCTTCTTCCTTGGCTTTTCATCTTTGGGAACAGCATCACCATTCATCCAATTGCAAAAGCTAACATTCTAGTCATTATATTTGGCATCTCGCTCTCCTTTTAAAAATTTCATCCACAACCCCTTCTTTTGCCTTTATTTTTGTTGGTCTAATCACTGTTTCCCTTCAGGCAGCTCACCTAAGATAATTCTTTTCCGAAAAGCCTTTTAGATACCCAAGGCTGGCTGGTTGAGGTGCTCCTTCCGTGCCTTCCTTGGGTTGCCCTTCTAGCATTTATCATGCTGCTGCCTTGTGATGGGGCTATTGTGTGGGCTTATTCTTTCTAACTAGACTGGGAACTCTCTCAAAGCAGGGATTATGTTTCTCGTTTCTTCATCCTTTGTGCCAAAACAGTGCCTACCACAAAGTAGGGCCATGAAAATACTCCTTTTCATGACTGTTTTTGTTGTTTAGTAAATGAATAAAAGGAAGCATCAGGAGGGAGGAGTTTGTTTAAATTAATTCATATTATAGTCTGACTAGTCACCTAGGATTATAACTATATTAGATACAACAAGCTTATTAATCATGGTAGAATTTTTGGTAGTATGACAAAGTTTAGTGAAGAATTTCATATGTATGTAGAGTAAATTTTTGACAAGAGTCTTAAGTCACACGTGGTAACCTGCTTGGCTTAAGCTTTGCTTATTAGCATTGCACTCTAATGTTGAGCTTGTTATAAGTGAGGGAAGTAGGTTTTTTTAGAAGCAAAGGCCCCAGTATACCAGGTGACGGAATTTAAAACTCAGTTTTACTCTTATTTTGTGGAGACAGAGGGGTGAATCAGTGATATCAGAGCCACATGTCAAATCCTTTTTCTTTATAGCTTTTTTTCCTAATTTAATCTGAATGAGGCTAAACAATAATTCAAACTAGTTAAGGTAAACTTTTATGTGTTGTATAATGTAGATGGTTATTATTTTGTTTTTGAAATATAATACTAGTTTTAATGGTATTCTGATCAGTGTTCACCTTGCCTCCAGAAATCTTATTACTACTTTAAATGTAGTAATTTTTTATTTGTGAAATAAAAAAGTTCATGTTAATTACTTGCTATACAGCTATTTCTCCTTCAGTGTTATTTACTTTACCTTTTAGGCAAATGCTGAGTATGTTGTTTGTGTTGAAAAATTGTCTAAATCATTTCTTTTGTGTTTATAAACATGCTGGTTTTGGAATACAGTATGTATTTTGACATGTAGCTCATTTCCAGGCCACTTGGCCAACAGTAATTGGCTTTTTAAGAGGTTAAGTGTTATTTTATGTAGGTTAGACCTTCTTTGTACTAGCGTGAATATTTTTCCAGTATGAAGAAAACAGGGCTTGTTTTAAAAACCAGGATAGAACATTTGGAGGAAGAATTACTGTCTTATATTTTTAAAGCAAATATTATTAGTTAATTTTAGATAGTTACCATATTGCTTAGAAGTTATATGTGTTTGCCTTTGCATGACAATTTTTAGTACTTCGATGAAAAGATTATTTGTTGTTCAGACATCTGAACCTAAACAGTTTCACTCTGAGATACACATTTAATTTTCTTCTTAGATTATCGTGTGGAAGAGATACAGTGACTTTAAGAAACTACACAAAGAACTATGGCAAATTCACAAAAACTTATTCCGACATTCAGAATTGTTTCCTCCATTTGCTAAAGGAATAGTGTTCGGTAAGTGATTATTTTGAATTTATGTTTTTAAAAGTGATGATTAGCTAATTAGGCATATATGCTAAACCCTGAAATACTGTACCATAAAGTCATCAGCTCCTTTATTTATTGAGGTAATTCATATCATGTAGCAAGCACCTGAAATTGTTTTTCATGTTCTTGGTATAGTTTTGCTAACTCAAAATGCATTTACTCCTCTCCTTCCATGAAACAACAACACAACTCCCAACTCCAACCAATCAAACAAATAAAAAAAACTGTAGGATCATAAGAAAAGATGATGTTGCATTTTTCTTATAGTTCTGAATTTTTTTGATTTTTAAAAATAATGTCTATACTTTATATGTGTCTTGCAAAGTTGACCCATTTCTTTATACAATTATCAAAAAAATTGTTAATATCACAGATCTCTAAAGGAAATTTTTTAAGTATTGGGAAGCTGTCAGACTCAAGGGACTTGGCAGCTTGAATTCATAACTGAAAACAATGCTATTGGTAGTTTTCTTTGATGTGTCAGTTTCATTTTGTTTATTTTTGAGAAAATATCTGCCAGCTATCTCAGTCTGAATAGTTATAGTTTTTTTTTTCTCCATAGACTTTTTAAAAAAGATTTTATTGGGGAATTGGTGAAGGGGAACAGAGTTAGGGAATCGGGGTAGGGGAACAGACAAGTTGCAGTCCTTTTGTTCTTCAGTCTAGTTGTGGAGGACTTCACTGGCCTATGTTGGTATTATAATTGCACTCTTCCTGAATGAGGCAGATCAATATTCGGTCTCTGGACAGCCGCTCACGGCGGCTCTTGGCAGCTCACGCTGGCTGCCGGCCACTCACTGTAGCTTATGGCAGCTCACTGCAGCAGGGCCTGCAGCCTACACCGTTGCCGTTGACTCATGGCAGCCCAGCTCCAGGCTGAGCTGTTGTTCAGCATCTTAGCTGTAGAGGGCAGTGTCACTGGCCCTTATGTGGGACCTGAACTGGGGTCCCGCTGCTCAGAGCTGGCGTCCCAAGCTAGCTCTTAACCAACGCGCCGCTCGGCTGGCCCTCTCCATAGACTTTTAAAAAGAAATGGTCTCAAGGGTTGAGATTTAATAAATTTAATAAATTTTCTGCTTCGTCAAGGACATTCTTAAGTGAAACAAGCACTTAAAAAAATTTTAATATAAGTGAGTGGCAGTAAGGAATATGATGATTAGTAGTAAGTATAGTTAGATGCCATTGTCTTTATTCATGCTAAGAGGTCAGCAGTTTTACTGCTATTGCTTTTAGATTATTAGAGCAAATGCATTTATGTTCTTAATAATATTATGAAAATGGTTTTGACCTTGTCGATCCCATGAAAGGCCCTTGGGGGACCCCCAGCAATCTGTGGATCACAGTTTGAGAACACACACACACACACACACGCACACACACACATGCGCATGTGCATACACACACGTACACACACATATGTACATACACGTGGATGTTCCTTGCAGTATTTCAATAGAAGAAAACTTAAACTGAATTTTCTCAATACATGATTGTATGGATGTACCATAATTTGGCCAATTAATAGAATTCTTCAGCTATTTGAGGTCTACTGGGTGGAAAGCTGTCCTGGATGTAGTTTTTCAGATACAGAAAACAAATGTTGCACAGAGATATGTTTAGTAAGATCCCCTCTGTGTTTAAATAGACATAACATATTTGTGCGAAGATGTACCTACACACACTTATATAAGTATAATATGGGAAACCTCTGAGTGCGTAGGAAGAGGGATATTTTTACTTTTTCCTTAGACCTTCTGTACTGTGGAATTTAACTGGGCACACATCTTTAAAGCCTTTTGAGCAATAAGCTTGTCACTGGGTGAAAGGGAGCGGCTTCTAAATTGGTTCTTAGCTATTATTGTCTGTTGCTAATGGATTATCTTCAACTTTTCTCCACATCCTTACATATTATAGAGTGAAAGTTTCTTATTAATTTTAATAAGTAAGCAATTTATCACTCTTTAGTAAATGGTACAATCCATTTGTAATACTTGATAACTGCAGTGAACCCTGCAGGCAGCAGCTGTGGTTGTGTGAAGGGAATTGTTGGTTAATCATCTATCTTTTTATAGCTATTCTCACATTTTTAGTACGTAAGCCTCAGTAGCAAAAGAGACCCCTCTTCTAGAGTTACAGTGAAAAGAACATGCCTTTTGGAATCAGATAGATTTAGGCCCAAATCTTCTATCCACTATTTACTAGTGGTGTGATCTTGTACAAATTAACATCTGAGTCTTTTTTTTTTTTTTAAAGATTTTTATTGGGGAATTGGGGGGATGGGAACAGTGCTGGGGAATTGGGGAAAGGGGAACAGACTGGCCCTCATATGTGGGATCCGAACCGGGGCCCTCTGGCATCCCAAGCGAGTTCTTAACCATCGCGCCACTCGGCCGGCCCCTGAGTCTTTTTTTTTTATTGGTAAGATAAGGATAATATCTTCCTGTATGTCCTAAAGGCAGCTTATAAATCAAAGAGAGAGACTATTTCCAATGAGTTACCAGCTTTGTTAGAATTTACCTCCCTGCCCCAGCTTTTAATAAACAAACCATTATTTATTGAGTACTTGGGAGCAGTGGAATGGCTTGTATATAATATATACTCATACACAAATAACACAATACATAATATATAATATTGCACAGTAAACTTTCTCAGGAAAAATTGATTTTGCATTTTCTATTGTGAAGTATATTTCATTTTTCTACTGTGTTCACAGGAAAATAAACATGGACTCTGTGATTGAAAATTTAAAGCAGTGATAAGAGAAGTATCTGTTTGTGATTTCTCATTGTTGCTGCCTTCAAATGGAAGTTTTGATGATATTAAAGTGTTAACAACTGGAGAATAGCTACTAGGGTGTTGTTTACCACTAGGATGCCTGTTGAATCTTGCTACTTTCTAATTTCCTTTTAAAATTAAGTGGTTTTGTTATATATATTAGAGCCAGTAGTAATTAAAATTCATCTACTTTCTTGGTTTATGCTACCAATCTTTTTTCTTTTTTTTCTGAAATCTTAGGAACAAAGAAGCAAGCACGTTCTTTCATCACATTTGCTCCCATGATAGCATCCAGTGCAATTGAACCTTTTAATGCATAAGCCTTTATTTTTGGTTGTGCTCCACTCTGAAAAATGTTTTAATTCATCTCTGCTTGTCCAAGTTTAGGGGATTGGAAATGCATAGATCCATAGAAGGACAACAAAGGCTTTTGACATATGTATTCTATTTAGAAGTTGATATGCTCATTGCTTAAGCATGTTAGTCTAGCTTACTGGGAAGGTGGGATGAGTCATTGATCACTCTAGGATTAAAGCTCCCAAATTTTTATGTGTTTGTTTCAGCTAGTAAATAAGATTTTTTAAAGGGTGTCATCGAATATTAGGAAGCATCTCATTATAATTTCTCAGTAAGTAGTTATGCATTTAAAGATAATACCGGGGGTCTTATGGGTTAAAACATAGTATAATGTGTGCATTTTCTGGGTTTCTGTTCTAAGATTATAGATGCTCACAAAATTACTAATATTAATTCACAGACACTGGAATTTACTTTTTTGTTTAAAGGATAAATATGTTGGATGATAATTATAAGCACCAGTGCAATTTTAATTGCTTATTTAGGAAAAAGAAGGAATAATGGACATTTAGCTGTCATTTTAACTTTTTTGGCCAGTGGATTTTCCCCTGGATTGAGTATTTTAGATTTTCAGGCCAGAGGATTTGTTCTATGGGTTGGGGCTCTTGGAAGTTTTTTCCAGGTAGTATTATTGATAGGTAAGCTAGCAGTATTATTTTGTTTGTTTGTTTGTTTGTTTTTTTAGCTGAGCCATCCTGTCACCTGTTGGCAGCTCAGCGGCAGCTCAGCTCTGGCCAGGAATCGAACTGGTGACCCTGTTCATCAGAGCTCAAACTCTTGAGCGAGCTCTTAACCAACTGAGCCACTCTGCTGGCCCCATACTAGCAGTGTCATTTGAGATGTGCTTTTGTCATTGGGGGAGTTGGGTTTAATTGAATTGTTGCATATGAACTGAGAACTAATAGAAAAACAGATATAGCATAATGGATTATATTAGGTTTGTTTATTTGTGACAAAATTTAAAACCACATAGACATCAATTTCATTCTCTTGGTAAGATCTGGAGGTAGCCTCAGGCAGGGGCAGCTCCACAGAAATCAGGAATCTAAGCTTCTAGCTCAGTGGTTCTCAACCTGTGGGTCGTGACCCCTTTGGGGGTCGAACGACCTTTTCACAGGGGTCGCCTAAGACCATCGGGAAACAAAAAGATATTTACATTACAATTCATAACTAGCAAAATTACAGTAATAGAGTAGCATCGAAAATAATTTTATGGTCGGGGGTCACCACAACATGAGGAACTGTATGAAGGGGTCGCGGCATTAGGAAGATTGAGAACCGCTGTTCTAGCTTGTTGCCCTGTCAGTTTTAAGCTTCCACTTCATAGTCCTTCTTGGAAAGGGAAAAGGGGAAAGGAGAAAAGAGGTGGGGAGAAGGTGCATAATGGCTGTCTCTTACAGAGATTTCTGGGGAGCTGCAGTATAGCTTTTGTGTATTTGTTATTGGCCAGAACTTAGTCCATGTCCAGATGTAACTGCAAGGCAAGCTGGAAAATATAGCCTTTTCTTTCCTGGGCTTCCATGTACCTAGTTAGAAATTGGGGATTATTTTACTTAGGGAGAAGTTGAGAACAGATTGAGATAGCAATTGGCAGCTTATTCCATAGTAAATAAAAGAGTATACAGGATGTTAGGAATCCTCTAATTGCTGCTAACCTTTACTGGGCCCTGGGCTCTTTGAGAATGCTGATAAAAGTTAGAGACCCTTCTAGAAAAATGTCCCTATGGACACATGCATGGAATTTTGTAGGATTGTTGTCTCTGAAGCCCATCCATTAAGCTAAGGGAGTTGTTTATGGACCCACTGTTAAGATTTCTTATTAGTGAAATATTACTGACTGTCTTCTAGGGTAGAATGTTTCACTGTAAGACAGTTCTTTTTGTTAGACGGCTTTTCAGAGTTTTCATTATTCACTCATGCAGTCAGCAAAAGTTTGTTAGCATATTCTGTGTGCTGGACACTGTGATGGCACTTGAAGATTCAGAGACACCATGATTGATTTATTAAGTGCTTACTGTGTGCCTAGCACGGAACTGGAAGCTTTATGTACATTGTTCATTTTCTCCATTTTATAAATTAGGAAGTAGCCTGCCTAAGGTTTTATAGCTAGTGAATGGTAGAGCTAGTACTTGAGCCCAGGTCTAACGCTAAGACCATTTCTTTTAGTGACCATGAAGCAGACACTTCACCATAAGCATGAGGCACATTGAGCTGAGGGATTTAGGGTTCAGTTTCAATTCTTGCCTTGAATAATATAACTAGGAACCTTTTTGTGCCTGAGTTTTTGTTAACGTTTTGCAAAGCCACTGAAAATGTTTAAGTATGTGATGATGTTACTCTTTTGATTTTGTATTTTTTTAAACCTGTATTGCAATCAGTATGGTACATGGCATGTGACAAATGCCAACCAATGCTATAATTTGGGGTAGTAAAACAATGACCATATTTGAAAATGCCTTATCCAGCATTCAGACTATATATATCATTAAAAAAATTCTGTGAAAACCACCTTTCGATCACCTTGTAAACCAGAGCTCAGGGTGGCTGTGTGTGTTCTCTTTTTTCTTACAAGCAAACCGTCATATATACTGACAGCATCACACATGGAATTTGACTTAAAAGCATTTTGCTTCAAACTAAGGGTTTTGACCCCATTGATACACAGATGTTCTCATAATTTCCTCTCTTCAGTTCCTTTGGAAATAAAAAAGAATGGGAAAGAGAAAATTATATGAGTAATTACAGTATTAAATTACTATAGAAAACCATTTGAATTCTTTATAATTCTCTTTTCAACTTTAGCCTCAAACCACCAGTTTCTTAAATGGTAAGTTTCTTACATTGACAGGCCTTAGAGTATGCTGGCACTGTTTATTTGTCAGTTGACACCTTTGCCTCTTGTTTCATCAGAAACATTGTTTTCTTTTCTGGTTAGAGTGTGGCAGATTCCCCTTGTGGAGACTGGATTTGACTTCAGAGGGTTGCACATAGGCCCTACCATGATAGACCTGCTGCTTCTCTTAGTGAATAGAAACTGTTACAAACTCGTGTTTGAGCCTTCTCTACTTAGAGTTGATTTCTTATTCTAGGACGATTTGATGAAACTGTTATTGAAGAGAGGAGACAGTGTGCTGAAGATCTGCTACAGTTCTCTGCCAATATTCCCGCTCTTTACAACAGTAAACAGCTCGAAGATTTTTTCAAGGTTTGGTAGTCTTTCTGAAATATTTCCTATTTTATTAAACACCTTTGTTTTCTAATTTGTAGTACAGCAAAATTCAAGTTGTTTTTTTAAAAAACAAAGTCATTTACTTTTGAATTTCATTATTCACTAACATAAGTAGAAGTTAGTAGCTTAATTACAATGTTTATGGCATATCTTCTATCTTTAGTGTCGAAATGTATAATATTTTTGATTCATAGATTAAAAAAATTGATGCACAGGGTTTAGAGATTATTTGATTTACTACATCATAATTGAAATACATGTAAGTTTCAAGAAACTCCAGTAGTTATCTTTACTTTTTGAGGTATCTTTTAGTGGTAGACTTTTTTTTAGGATAGAAACTACTGTAAGTCTATATTAAATTTGTTATACTAATTTGTGTAAATATAGAACAAAGATGGCCACTGTATAGTTTTAGAGAGGTAGGCTAGTATAAATTATATTACCAGAGCTCATTGGATATTAGTGTTTCTTGACATGTTATGCCTTCATTCTGAGTTCTTCATAATTTTTAATAATAATTTTCTAATTTATTTTGAGCTGAACCTGTACAAATTGTTGGTCGATAGTAGTGTCTTTAATGACCACAATATGCATTTAGCCTTGTAGAAAAAAGCTAGGTGATTGTACCACAATTGTTTTTTTCTCCTCCTTCAACTAAAATATGATCATTTTTATAAATGTAATTTCTTGGAACATATACATATTTAGTATATTCACAAGGTTATGCAACCATTATCCTTGTATCATTATAACTTAGTCGTCAGACAGTGTTTGGTCTTGGCTTGTACTTACATACTTTATTCCATTATATGCTTCTCCCTTATGCTGACGATTGTGTGTTTTCAAAGTTCAAGCAGTTTTTAAGTTTGCCCTGGGTTTTACTTTCCTTTGGGATCTCTTGCATTTCCTCTGTGCATGCGCACCGTCTCATGGCTTGCCGGGGATTTGTAGATAGTGTGATCCTTCTCTGGTCTCTCCTCCATGGGTGGGTAGAGAGCTTATTTATTATAAGAGCCCCTGTGGCTGTGTTACTTTCTGGATCTTCCTGGTAAATGTCTGGCTAATGTGTGGTCCTTTGCTTGCCCCAGCTTTATGCTTGCTGAGCCACTGTTACTGCCATTTGTTTGGCACTGAGGTCACTGCTATTACTGATAACGCTGTTTGGGGTAGATTTTTTATTTTTCTGTGCTTCAGTCAAAATTATGCCAGCCTCTTCTATAAGTAAATCTGCTGGTTTTCAAGGCTCATCTTGTCCATGTATAATTACCATGGTAACCCAGCTGGGATGGAAGATGGGAGTAACCCCAGGCAAGAATGCCACAGATTTCCACAGTTTTTAACTATGGTTTTGCGGTTTTTCATGAGTAACCACTTCTTCATTTGCTTTGTGTTTTTGGTCAATTTTCAGAGCTCTCACATAGTTGTTTTGACAAGTTTTTTTCAAGTTGTATTGCCTTTTGGGGAGAGCTGATCTACTTATTCTACCATGCCCAACCTCCTTCCATGCTAGGTTGACTTTTCATTAACAAAAGCTTGGAGATGCTATGTAAGAAGAGTTTTTTTTTTTCTTCCATAATCAGGAACGCCAAAAGGTTAATGTTTTTGAACTAGAGATTTAAAATAGAATTGTGGCATATTTTCCCACTACTTCCTATAGAACAGTTTTTATCATTTTGTTTTATTAAAAATTTATTCTTTATTTTATATAATGTTTATTTATTTCTTTATTATTTTGTGTAATATTGTTTGTTAGATTAAGGAAATAAAATTTGTTAAGGATTATGAGCCAAAACATTTTTCATTCTTTAGTTTTTTGGTTTTTTTTTGTCTTACAAGCAGATCTTATATTAACCAATAATAATAAGAAAAAATTATTGAGTGCTTACATTGTTTTAAATACTATACATGTATGAATTCGTTTAGTCCTAACAACTCCTTGAATTATAAGCATTATTTCCATTTTATAGGTAGGTAACTTAGTTACTGCATACCTGGTGGTGGAAGAGGTTGTTAATAGTTGGAAAGCACTTTCTGTTAAGTGAGAATGTAAATAAAATCAACTTTATTTATAACAATTCTTAAGAATATTTGTATATATTTTTAAAATTTGGTTTGGATGTTCAAAGAATGGCTTAGTCTAGAACAGATATTCCTTATTAGAGAAGAATTCATATCTAAGCTATGATTTGAATATTTTAATATAGAAATAGAATAAAGTAATATAAATTTTTTCTTCTAAAGAATAATTGTTTTTAAAGTCTCAGTTCACTTAACTCTCTAGGAATTAAAATTTTGTAATTTGAGAAGGACCATTTCAAATTTCTCTTAAAGATCAGCTGGCAGGGAGACTTTTGATTAGGTAAAGATAGTTGTTGAATTCTTTGTGCTGACGAGAAGAGGAAATAGGACTCTTGTATTTTTCTTGGGTTTTGTTATTCTGGAAGTTGTGTTTGGGGGCATAAAACTGTTGGTGGAAGGTAGAAGGAAAGATGTTAAGGAGCAGAGGAACTATTCTTTAATTAATTGTAATTATTTAAGGATTATAAGCTCATATATTCATGATTGGAGCAGTGCATAAAGCTACAGCACAAAATCACACCACCAGTTGCCTGATAATAGCATTCCCTAGTTTCATGTAAACAAGAGAAAATAGTCTTCTGAGGCCTGAATTTGCAAACCTAAATATAGAATTAAAATGGTGGTTACATAGAGATATCGATCTTATATTATTAAAAATGTGTCTCTTTAATAAAAATATCTTAAATTTATTTACTTTTACTTACATTGTATTTAAGTGGTTTTCAAATTCAAGTCACTTCTGGAATCTCCTGAGGTGCTGTGTGATATATTATAGTTTTTAATTTGACAAAATTAAATGACTTCATAATGGAATCTATTTATCACTAATTAGAATGACCAGTCACTAAGGATTCTGAACAATATCCTTTAACTGATGGGTGTTTTCTTTTTCTACGTTTTTTAATGAGTACTTTTGAGAGTTTTTAAAAATAATGCTTTTATAAAAAGCCATGTATTATTATAAAAGTAATATTCTTATTGAATTTTTAAATAATAGACTATTTTTTAGAGCAGTTTAGGTTTATAGAAAAATTGTGCAGAAGGTATAGCATTTTCCCATATATCCCCCCTTCTCCCTCAGAGTTTCTATTAACATCTTGCATTTATGTGGTACATTTGTTACAATTGATGAACCAATATTAATATTTCTATTGATTTTTTTACAAACAATTGTAACCTAGCTTAATAGATGAATAGTTTGTAATCCTTATACATACTCAGTTGAGATAACTATTGTTAATTTATTACTTGTTTTTAAATACTCTTATTGACAAACATAATTACTCTGATCTTTTTAGGGTGGAATAATTAATGATGGCTCTGAATTGATTGGTCCTGTTGAAGCTTATGCGGATTCCTTCACTGATAGCTTTCCTGAGTGTAGTACAGAAGGTAAGAGATTTTTTTTCTTTTTTCATTTCAATAGTTTTGATTGCAGAAGACTATAAATCATATTTGCATTGCCAAAAAAAAATGGATATAGGAATTTGAGAGTATTCCATTAATGCTAAGGTGCTGTTTTTTCTTCACATTTTAACATCACTGGTATTGGGTGCATGATATTGGGTTGATGATATCTTGCATGTAATTTATAACTTTTTTCTTTCTTAGTGATATAAAAGAATGATTCCTCTTACAATTAATGGCATCTTAGACTTGATGAAATGTGGTATAATGAGTGTTAAGAATTTGTATTCTCTAGAATAAGAACTTACTTAAGTTTATTTAGCAGCATCTGACTTTTAGACAATTAATTTCAAGATTAGCTTTAAAAGTTTAGTCATGTACCCAAAGAATGAACCTAAGGCAGTTTTAGTGTTTTTGATATATTTTATAGTAAATAACATGAGCCTAAACCAAAGAAATTTTTGTACTTTTAATCACTTTAATTCAAGAATGCTTATTCTCTTGTTTTATTCCTCTGTTAAGCCATCCTTGAATTTTTATGAAGACTTAAAATACATACATTTTGGGTTTTGGATTTCTTTAGCTAGCTTTCTTTTAGAGAAGATTTTGGAATTACAAAAAGAAGATTTGGGGACAGGGATGGGGCAAGTCTTTAAAAATAGGTAGATTTGTTTGCTTTGGCTTAGGTTTGATTTATATAAAAGTAAAATTATAGACTAGATAATATTTCTTGATCTCTTTCATAAGTAAGAGTTTAGGTAGAGAAACATGCTTTATGAGCCTGACATGGGTGGTAGCCATAATCTCACTGTAGTGGTATTTTTGTGGGGATATATATTGATGTCCCACATCAAAAGACATATTGATGTAGATCTGTTGCTCTAAAGTTCCATCCTGATTTGGTAAGAGCAGCAAGTTCCCATCCATTATGTAGGCTGATGCACTTTTGGTACTGCCATATTGAGAAGTGATTAATTTTTCTTGTTTTTCCTGGTGGCTCCTAGTAACTTAAAAGCAAAATGCATTAACTTATACTCTTGTGTTTTGAGTAATGTATGGGGACCTCAGGCCCAGGGGTCTCCATTGAGTCCTTAATACCTTTGACTCCATCCTGAATCATCCAAGGTCATAGGAAAACATTGTTGACAGTAATTTTATTTTACAATCCATTATGTTTTTTTTGAAAAAATATATCTATTCTCCCTGATCTGTTTTGATCTGAGATCCTTAATAAACTGGAAAATCTAGTCTCTTCTTGGGACCCCAATGTGATTCTCTTTCTAGAACTAGTTCCTTGGGAAGTAACTTATCTGGTATAACCTGATCTGGCGGTTGCCTCAGAGATACCGTCCGTACTCCTGAGAAAGGCAGACTGTGTTTACTGCCTGTAAAACTTGCTGATTTGGTGACATCCAGGATGTATGGGAGAGTTAGAAGTATTTCTTGGAGAATATTCAATGAGGAGCTCTTAGAAATTGCAGAATATTTCTTTTCTTTCTTGTTTTTTGATACAGGATTCGAAGGTTGTGTGATTTGGGAATGGTTATATTCTTTTGCTATCCATATAGGCCTTTATTACTAGGTGGGAGTCAGCCATGGTGAGAGAAGGGTGTTTCAGGAGCCTGTTTTAGTGCAGGGTAGTCATGGCTGGGAGCAACGCAGAGAGGCCTGCTGTCCTTTGCTGTAGGGTAGGAGGGCAGAGGGGGAGCGTTACCGTTAGGAATGGCTGTTCTCGGGATAGCGTTCTGAAAGATGCAGAGCTGTTCTGGGTAAAAAGGTGGCTGTATTCGTGTTAAGGAAATACATCCTAAAGCTAGGGTGAGGTAGTAATTTATTGTCTAATCTGGGACACTCCTGAGAATTAAAGAAGAGGCTATTAATAAGTGCAGTCAGACACCAGGCATAAACCAGGACGGCCTTGGGCAAACGTGGCAGTTGTTGCAGAGTTTACAAGATGGGTTTTCCTGGGAAGACTTTTTTTTTTAGGAATATGCTTTTATGAGAGAAATTGGGGGTAACATTTTTGTTAAAAACACAGGAAAAGACTTAGGATACCTAGAAGTAATGTTGACATTTTATCCTTTCAGAGCGTAGTTTCCCAGCTATGTTATCATCTCTAAAATACACTGTGATCCATGAAGAATGAAAAACATGGAACTGGAAATGCTGTTAATGCTTATGTTTTTTACCCCCTCCATTTAAAAGCCTTTATGCTTCGCTAATTAATCCTGCTGAAAGACACCTTGTTGACATACAGATTGGAGTGTTAGACAAGCTTGCAAATTCATTGCTGTTTAAGAGGGGAAATGACTTTTAAATATCATGAGATTGTCTGGCATACTGGGCAATGTAAGATTTACTTTCGTACCAAAAGGTCTGCAAACCCTAGAGACAACCAAGTGAGAGGGCCTCTATCTAGTAGCAAGAGCAGGAAAGCCGGCAGCCAGCCAAGGCCCACAGGGATGCGGTGAAATGGAGGGTTATAGAGGGATTGTGGTTGGCAAATGCTGTGGTTTGGGTGTGGAGCCAAAATGCGAGGAGGTGGTTCATTCTGTAACAACTCCTTTGAGTGTAGTATTTTAAACGGTGTTTTGAAAGTAGATTCAGTTTTCACACTTGTGAATTAGTTTGCTAGTGGAATATACAGTCTGCCGTTTCAAGGTCCTTTTACCTGTTTCAAGGTAGAGTTAGAATGATGTGGGCAAGTATATCACCTCTCAGAGAACAGATGTAGAGGCTAAGTGATCGTTGTTTTGATTAGTACCATAAAAATGCAATCAGTAAGTTTTAAGTTACCTTGAAAGAAAGTTTTCTGAGGAAAACATAAAGACCTGGATTAGGGGTTTAACAAAATTATTATTTTATAGTACAATGGGATAGAGGAAACCGCCTTAAGGTCTCACAAAACTAAGAATTTTGTGATTAGCTATGTAAATACGTTTTACCTAATATGAAATGATAAAGTTATTCAGTAGGTTTTTAGATAAAAAGTTAATATTGTTTTATGATTTTAAAATGAAATGCTGGTTACTCTTGATCTCCTTTGTTCAGAAAAATTAAACTATATATTTTCTCAAAGATGAAAGATTTAATTGGTTGTTAACATCTTATTTCCTTTTTAAACTTCCATCTTTTGTTGGATTAAACTTAGCCATGAAGTTACCATGACATTTGTGGAAACCCGGCCAAAATGATGCATGGGAACTGAGCTTCTTGACATATTTCTCTCATCTGTTGGTCTGTTTGAAGGATGTAGGTTGCTTTACTGCCATGCTGGCCTTGATATTGGAGACTTTGATGTTGGTATAGTCTCATCTGGTAACCTGTGTCATTTCCTCTTCCTAATACATTACTTTACTTCCTTCTCAGTTTTGGGAGGGACATTTTCCATGTGTGTGTAACAAACAAGAGAAGATAATTAGGGGATCATAATCACAAATACAAATTGAGAGATCAACTTCTTATATGAAGCGGATCTTAAGAGTGAATATTCCTAAGTGTCTCCTGGTAGCTATATCTACCTTTTTTTTTTTAAAGCCTGTAAATTGTGGATTAGGAGCTCCTAAGTGCTCATTCTAACAATTATAGATCCTGAAAAGGATTTTATTATTAAGCTTTCTTGAACTAGTCATTTTAAAGTAGATGAGATGTACATTTTGAGCATCTATTGCTGGTATATGTAAGGGATCTCTTAAAATCACTTCCAGTCTAAGATTTCTGTATTTATTTGATGGCAGGGTAATAAGTTTTTGCATTATGTGATAAACATGAAGATTATAATTAATATGTGTTAAACTGAATAATGTTGATTATATTATATCGGGGGCACTCATTGGAAAGGTATGTAGTTATTTAAGTTTGAAAAAAATTCTTTTGTGTCAAAATACCTTTTTATTACATTTTCTTTCACTATTGTTTGTTATTTGCATT